CAATTCTTGACGGTCGATTTCCGCGCTGGCAAACTTTTATTGTGGTGGAATTTAAACGGGGCGGAGGTAATTCAAACGGGGCGCAACGATTCAAACAGGGGGGAGTTTTCCCAAACGGGGCGCGCGCGCCCCGTTTGCGCAACGTAGGGAGAACCCTGATGAAGCTAAGAGTTAGTTGTTAGCTATTGTTCTAGCGTTGTTTCTTTGGCACATATTTAGACAGACACATCCGCACACGTGTAGGCATAGAACTTGACATCGATGCTGGTAAACGGTGGTAGTGAATGGTCGTGATGACCGAAGGTGTCAAGCAGGGCTCGAATTAAGCGACGAGAAGGACAAAGCAATTTTTTTAGGGCATGTGAGAAATCGCCTTGAATTTTCTCTAAAATAGAAAGGCACCAAGGCAACTCTCAAAATTTGAGAAGGGCACCAAGGCACTTTTGTAAAATAAAAGAATTAGTACATCAACATCGTCTTGCTTTTAATGTACAAAACAATATGCCCCCATGTAAGCTTACACCGTAACACGTACCGACCCCTGTACCCACCTCTGCTAATGGAAGTACAGTAACAAGAAATTTTACATGCCCAGGAGCAAATAATTATCCGATGCTGTTATTATTCCCTCCTGCGACTATCGGTTTTTAGCTCATCATTGCAACTACAGCACGCACGCGCACGTGTTATGTTGATTCGACTAAAAACGAAACTAGGGCAGTAGATTAAAGGGCACCGACGGCAATTACACAAACGGGCAAGGCAGGTGACTGCCGTCGGTCGGGTTGGATTTTCAGGGGCAGTACGGCGATTGATAGGGGCACCGACGGCGATTGATAGGGGCACCGACGGCAATTGCCGTCGGTGCCGTCGGTTAATTCGAGCCCTGGTGTCAAGGATGACGTAAAATATATAGATATTGTTTATTCTATATATATTAGTATGAGATACATTGCACAGCCTGCATAGCCACCTCAAAACCCTGACTGCTAGTCGATTGTCACTAGAAATCGACAAACACAGAAGCACGCACACACACACGCACACACACAAGCACGCACGCACGCACACACAAACAAGCACGCACGCACGCTCGTATGCACACACACCAGGTGAGTCTCTGTTTGAGTCTTCATCGATTTCCATGGCAACCTCCTCATAGTTGTCTCTGGAAGCTGTCGGTTTGATATCCCTGTCAGTAGAGCCGGCTTGCGAAGCTAGACCGACGTGTCCAGACCTGACAACACGAAAACAAATGAACAGCTACGAATAGTACAGTGAAAGTCACTGCGCAGCTACATCTCAAACATTATCGCTGCATACCCATCCATCTTCGCTCCAAGATTTCATAGATCTATAGCAAGATAATGATGATAAGTGTTTGACATCTGCACAAATAACCGACCAATATAATATGCCCAATACGAATCTCAATTATATTCACGCGTTGTAGCTTCTATTTAGTTATTAGTTACCTGGTGTGTTTCGGGGGGCTGGGTGGGCAACCGCTGCGTCCAGATGCCCTCATCAGCTGCAGGAACTGGTTGATCTGCTCATTGTTGTCTTCGAGCGCGAGGATGCGCAGGTGCGACGTGCGCTGCTGAAGCTTCCCGTGTCGCTCGTGCTCGCTCGCCCGCCGCGTGCTCAGACGTGCCTCCTCCTGGTGGTACAGCTCCTCGCGCGCCTTCTGTCGCTTTAGCCGCTCGCGCTGCTTGCGTGCGAGACGACGCACGGGTGTGACGCCCATCGCCGACGCTACAACGCGCGGTCAGGTGGTGCTCAATGACGCGTGAGAGATACCGGCTTACGCGACGCATAATGTCGACTTATAAAACGTGCGATATTAGCTTACGTGACACGCGACGCCTGCTCGTAAAACGTGTGACATTCGCTCAAGTAACGCACAGAACTTCTCTTATATAATTTGGCCACTCATATTATAGGGTAGATATAGCGTCACATATAGTACACTACATGTATATACTCGCAAGAGTTTGTCCATGTAATCAGCGATATTTGCTAATATAATGTACGACATTTGCTCAATAATTCTGAGAGAGAGAGGACTTACCCTTCCTCGGATCGGTGCGGCTCTCTAGTCTGCGGTAGTGCTCCTTCCTCCTCTGCCTGTCCCTCTCTGGCGTCGGCCGCATCTTGTGACGGCTCGGCGGCGACTTGCTCTGAGTTTTTCTCACGTGCTGTGCTGCAGATTCCAAAAAAATAAATCGGTACGCCGTTCATATTGCCATTGGCAGGTTTTCCCGGCTGATGACGTTTACGAGTGTGAGACAATGGAACCTGTGAGACAACGGAACCTGTGAGACAATGGAACCTGTGAGACAACGGAACCTGTTCACCAGCTGGTGTGATTTACAGACATCTCTAACCGATCGGTGTCGAGATAGTGGAATTAAAAAATGCTGGTTAATAAATGAGGTGTGGCAAAGTCGACGTTTTGGCATGTTCAGCACGAACAAATTGATCCATGGCTTGAGTAACTCATCGGATATACATTATAATTAACATTTGGGGGACTTTTCAGACCTGGAAAATTGTATTTTAAAAGTAAGGGGGATTTGAAAATACCAGGATTTTTTACACCTTGGAAATGGCATTTTCAAGTTCCGAGCTTTTCAGCCATGGGAAATGGCATTTTAAAATTCTGGGAATCTAAATTTCCAGGACTTTCCACGCGTGGAAAACAGTATTTTTTAAATTCCAAGACTTCATCCAGCAGCTGTCCACGCAGCAACACAGTGCCGGCAACCTACCTACAGCTTTCTCAGCGGCAGAGGCGAGGGCTATCCTGCGTAACTCCAGCTCTGATATCTCGTCATCGTCGTTGTCCTGCGTCCGTGCCGAATTCACCCTCGCATTGTCACCCTGCATGCGACAGTAGCTCAGTTACACACGCATCGTGTATTATTTATTACCATTATTATTATTATTGTATATCATATATGATTACTGCTCAATATATGCTCAATTACATGTATCGTGTATTCCTATTATTATTTATTATTATTATATAGCATATATTATTATTGATCAATATATATGCACTCATACTGCAGTAGTTTCTAAATCTACCTGTTACTAATACTGCACCAGCTCAATAACTGCAAAATTGATAGTTGTAAAGTAAAATAATTGATTAAATACTAACACATTTCCTGTAAACACTCACCTGCCCCAGAACAACATCCGATTCGCCTTTTCCCACATTCATAGAAGCAAGCTCACCATCCTCACCCGCCGTTATCGCTGCCCTTGATGTGAGGTTAGTTTCAGCTAGTCCTATCAGTGGAATCTCCACTGCTTGGTGGTTTTCTTCCTCCTCTTCATTATTCGCTAATACTGATTCCTGATTAATTAATTAGATAATAAATTAATCACAGTAAATTTTCTATTAATCTTCTAATTATCTAAAGTCAATTTACGTATAGAGCTTAAAATACTTCTCATGAATCACGTTTTTAGGCATTACATTGTATGTCACCAGATTATATCAGGGAATTGGTCACACTAAAGAGATCTACTCGGTACAGTCTGCGATCTGGAAATCAAATGTTAATTGAGCCACCAACTATGAAAACGTTGGCTACACTTGGCGATTGAGCTTTTTCATCAGCTGCCTCAAAATTATGGAATAAGCTACCTAGTCATATTCGATCTGAGCAGTCGCTGGATTAAACGCGGCCTAGTAAAAACTCATCTATTTAACATTGCATTTTTAGTATACATTCGAGTTGAGTTCTATTTGTTGGAAATGTTATAGGATTGTCGTAATTTTAGGATCTATGTTTTACAGTGTTGCAGTCCGCTATTTTATAATCAGCCATTGTAATGCGCAAGTGAACATATTTGCATGTAACTTGCAAAATATAAATCAATAATTATTATTATTATTATTAAATTTATTGTTTGCACTTCACCAATCAACACTATTATCAGTGCCGATTAATGATAATCAGTGTAATGAAGTATAGTACACTGTAATATAGTACGTGGTAATATGTGATTTGTCATTATACATTCCATGTTAATACTACCTAACTTTTATATACTAAAAGCTCACAACAAAAAATTGTTAATTTCTGATTCTCAGCCAGCATGCGCCCTAGTAATTTTAGATGTCTAAAACCTAAGAGAATGTCCAGTAAAAATTCAGATACACAGGAGCACGCTTACGAGTACTTCAAAAAAATCTTCAAACTGACATGTTACTAAAAACGTTAATGTCAAGGAACTAGTGAAGACGTCACTCCTGTGCACTTGCGATCGTACGCTAGCATACCTACCTCGTGGCTGGTTGACACTGGTTCCTCAAGCTTCGCAAGCTGATTCTGGATGTTCTTATACTCTGCCAGCAGTTTTGAATACGAGTCGTCGTGCCTGTTTTCCACGCCGTCTGAAAATGATGCAGTCGCATAGATATGATCATGACTACGATATCCATACAGCTGTACAATCGTGCATGCTTGAGTTTGTTCAGGAGCAGAGTGTGTGGATGTGTGTACACTTTTAAGACTTGCTTATATCAGGAGTAAGATAATATAGGCTATAATATATCCTATAATAGCCTATAATATAATACATCCTATATTATCTTACTCCTGCTTATATCAGTAACAGAATTATACTTCCATATAAATAGAGGTTCACATTAACACTACACTGCAGTGTAAATATACCTCATGGAGCTAACATATCCCATACCAGGGTTCTCCCTACGTTGCGCAAACGGGGCGCGCACGCCCCGTTTGGGAAAACTCCCCCCTGTTTCAATCGTTGCGCCCCGTTTAAATTACCTCTGCCCCGATTAAATTCCACCACAATAAAAGTTTGACAGCGCGGGAATCGATCGTCAAGAATTCCAATTCGACAAGGACACCCGACGCGTGTATTTTTACCATACCACGCATGCACTGCAGACCACACACAAGTAGAAACAGTCCACCTGTCCCGCACGCAACACTAACTGTACACCGACTCGGCTATCTTATATATACAAGAACCCCAAATACCGTCTATGGTGTGGTAGCGATTTTACGTATTAATTAGTGGTACGGTAAAAAAACACGCCCCCCAGACCCCCCTAGTTTCCCCTCCCTTTCCTTCCCCCCTCCACCTTCCCCTCCCCTCCCCCCTGTTTGAATTTCATCCTGGGGAGAACCCTGCATACGTATACGTATACTGTCTATAAGTATAAGATTCCACCATTATAAGTATCACACAACGATATCAAGATTTATACAATCATAAAATTGTGCAATTTAACACACCACACGCATGTATACACACATACAATACACAGTTACACACGCAAATTAAAAAATGTACACGTGTGATAAAATAATTAACCTAGTTAAAACTATGTCCTCGTACTGTGATGCACGTAATTGTGAAGTGTTTTCCGTGTAGCCTTACCCTTAATGGCCTGGCGTTTTCTCGCACCATGTTTGGGAACCCTGCTGTGAATACTGTTCCATAGTTTAGAAGAGTTGGCCTTTCTACTCTCCGTGAATTTATGCGGCAGCTCGTTGGTCAGGTTTGGCGAACATGGGTCGTAGCCCGTACTTGTAGCAGCTGTCACGTTTTCATCGAAGACTTTGTTGTTGTGACTTTCCAGCGTCTGGCTGAGCAACTCTTGTTGTGTTGACGACGTTTTTCGCGCTTTAGAATGTCTGCTCCTATTTTCTTTGGTGCTAGTGCTATTGGCGCTGCTCGGTTGGTGGCGTTTGCGACTATGAGCATGACGGTGAAGTGGAGACGTTATGACAATTTCCGGAAATTCGTCGAGTAACTCACCATCGTCTTCTATTTCGCCTTCCTCTAACTCCGCCTGTTCTGCCGCGTTACAAGCCGCAGACATACTCTGTCAAAATACGCAAACAGATATATAATATAGTTATAAAAATATGCGTTGAAATATTTTGGAGCACATTATGAGTAAACATTCACAGTTTCAGTCTTTCCAAGCAAAGTTTCACAATGTGACAAGATTCGTTTACAACACAAAAATGATCCAATATGTCTGCAGATACTAGCGTCATCTACCGGTGCTACCTAGCGGCTGGTGCGCGACCACTAATCTATCACCGTGATTTATATGCTCTGTTTATATCTAGATTATTTAGCAAGCGCGTAGCCAGGGGGGTCCTAGAGGCCCTAGGACCCCCCAATCAAAATAAAAATCAAATTATTTTTTTTTCTCTATTATTTTTTATCCATAACAACGAAGGTGCATTTCACCTGTCTATGACCGACACGCCTCCTCCCTTCTCGCACAAATTTTTCCTCGCTCGCTGTCCCTAAAAAATAATCCATATAAATGATCCCTATGATCCCATTCTGAATTTTCTAATGGTAATAATGCAATTTTAAATCAAACTGTTGGCGGCATCTCCCGGTACGCAGCTAGGTATTATAAAAAAAAGAACCTGAGAAAACACATTCAACCCTGTTTAGGGTAATGCAACTGAAGGTCAATAGGGTTTTTAAAATATTACATAATCTCGGCCCACAGTATATTACAGAAGGTTTCATGTTAACGTCAGAAGTCCATGGTTTCAATACAAAAACCCTAGAAGGTGAGATGTCTATTTTTAACCCGAGGGTGGGAAGCAGCGGGAAAAACTCTTTTACTTATACTGCAATTGAAGCTTGGAACTGATCTCTACCACAGCAAGTCATGACAAATTCTGTTTATTCTACTTCTAGTTTTAAGTAGTGTTAAGAAATGTCTGATGGAAAAGGTAGAATCACTAGAGGCAGAGGAGTATGTTTTTCACTAAAAGAATTCGGTTGAAATTAGGCATAAGAAAAGTTGTATCGTCTTGTGAAAATGTACCATTGTATGACCGATTAAAACTACAAATCTGTATATTTCAACCGTGAAAAACATACCCCTAACCATAGTGAAAAACATACCCTTCTGCCTCGATTTTTATTTATTTTTGTGTATTATCCAATACACAATTTATTTTTGTGTATTATCCTTGGTAATTATCCAATTTTATGAATTCACTCAATTTTTATTGTAAAAGTATGCAATGTATTGTATATGATGGATAATTGCCTAAATAAATAAATAAAAATAAAAACCCTCTAAGCAGTCATGTGATCACATCTCTAATGCATGATGGGATTTCAAGTTTGAGCGGCACTATTCAAGATGTCTGACTTTATTTTCGTTTTGTAACAAGTTTAGCTAAATAAAGCCTAAATTATTCGGGTAAGACAGTTATTTGTGTGGTAAATATGCGGCGAGTGTTTAGTTAAGTCTTAAAAACTTTAAGTGAGCAAATTTGTAATTTTCATTTCGCTGCGTTATGGGCTTACGGAACCTTACCGGCTAGTGCTATTTTGTTTCGTCACTGTCAGTGTTGTCTGTTGAGGCGGTTACTCTACCCAAGGAGCTAAATATAACAAGAGTCGCGTTCACACGGTCATGATTTGGCTCGAACCAAATGGGCTAGATTTGGCTCGGGCCGGGTTGAGTCGGCGCGTTCACACGTACGCAAGTGAATAATTATACTGTCTGTCAAATTCAAATTCGAAGTAAAATAAATTTTATTGCACAAATATCTCACAGATACTGATACTAGTAGTAGTACTATAGCCCGCGTACAGTTGCCAGCGGCAACTGTACGCGGGCTATAGTACTAGAGCCACTTTGGCAGTATGTCGCGAGATGGCGTTGTTTACTATTTAGAGTGTTTACTTACGTTCCGAATTTAATTTAATCAATCTTGAAAACGTGGATCGCTACAAATTTTTTCGAATTTTTAACTGTTTGGACTTTATTTGTCGAAGTACACGTTGACCGCGGCATCTACCTGCTCAATCGCGATTTACCTCTCCTACCGCTCGCCGAAAGCTTGGTGCTAAAATTTGGCTCGCGCCTGTCCGGCGTTTTCGATGGGGCCAAAAATCTGGCTCGCCTAATTAGGCTCGGCCAAAACGTCCGGTGAACCACATGCACTTGGAACGTTTTCAATAATAAAATGATGGTTAATAAATACAACTTGTCAAGGACTAATACTGGCCGCTACCAAGTACATTAGGGCCTACCAGTAAATACTGTTAACGTAATAGTCTTAATGTTTGATTGACCCCTAATACTTCACTCATACACCGTCCAATACCATCGGCTGCAACAACATAGCGCGCACGCCCTGTGCATGCAACAAATACACAGTGATAGAGAGAAGGTAAAGCGTTCGCAAGAAATTCAGACCGCTCCAATCTTTTCCAGCACTTAGAGGGAAATATCACGTCCAAACGCCCATGATATTGGCTACTGTGTGTAGCTAAATGGTCACTTGTTGCGAAATATATGTCTTGCAACTTGGTAAACCACATACTTTACCCAAAAAAAAAAATTGCATCAGAATTGATCCCAGAATGCAATGCGCCGCCATTGCTCATGTACTGTCCCGTTTACAATCGCTTTCATGGAAATTTGCGGCAAATTCGAACAGATTTCTCATATAATTCTGGGTAAGTATGGGGTACAAGTTGCAAGACCATATATTCGGGCGTGTGAACGCAGCCTAAGGAGAGGAAGCGCCAGCCATATCTGCCCAAATATTGCCAATAATTTGGGTCAATTGGTCCAGAAACAGATTATGTTCTATTGTCCTCTGGGGACGGATCTGCACAGCCGTTTCAGCTGATTATGGTCCATAGATGGCATCCTTGAGGCGAAGCACACAGCCAATCGCTTCTCTCCTTGTTATATGTAGGCTCCTTGACCTACTAGCCCGACAGGCGTTGTTTTTTTTTCCCGCCGCCCCCGCCCCGACCGCCCCGCCCCGGCCCCCCGGGGGGGGGGGGGGGGGGGGGGGGGGGGAAAAAAAAACCCGCCCCCCCCCCGGCCGGCGCGCCCCGCCCCCGCGCCACGCCCCCCCCCCGCGCCCCGCCCCCCCGCCCGCCCCCGCCCCGCCCCGCCGCCCGCCGCCCCCCGCCCGCCCGCCCGCCCCGCCCCGCGCCCGCCCCCGCCGCCCCGCCCCCGCGGGGGATTGTGACATTGTCTAGCAACCGATTGTCTATACGGTCTTCTACCCTAGCAAGACGCGTTTCTTCGAGCTAACTCAAAAACACAAAAAAGCTACCTGCCGGGCGGTGTTGTGCGACAGGGATCCAAGCTTTAGCAATGATATTAAAATGAAAAATAGTCTGCCTGTGAAGGCAGTAAATGAAGGAAATACTTATGTTTATGGGAGTTTAGTAGGAATATACTGCAGTCACCCAGTGATTCATAATACATAACACAGCGGCCAACGCTTAGCAATTATGTTTAATTTCATTAAATATTATGTTAAAAATTAAAGTTAGATACAGGAAATCAAAGAAAAAATTCCAAATATATGAAATAGCCATAATAATTAATATAACGAATACACACTTTTTTATAAAATTCTTTTTATAAGATCATCGAGGCCTTGATTTCCCAATTTTAAGAATTTTTTAAGATAATGCTGAGGCTGCGATCCATCAGACACACATTTGTCACTCGGATGACGACGGCGACGAGTGGCTGATAATGAGGATGACCGATTCTATGACGTTGAATTTTGCGGCCGTAGGGTGAAAGTTCATTATGAAAATGGGTGGTTTGAAGGCACTCTTGAATACTTCAATGACGACATACATAAATATCATGTTTCCTACCCCGACGAGAGTGAGGACTATATTGGCCTCGAAGACATTGACGGCGTAGAAGTCGTATTACTGTAGTTTAACGAATTGCGTATATTTTGAAAAGGAGGGGTTACTTTCTTGTTGTGTTATACATTGGTTCTTTTATTGGATATTAGCATTTTCCTCTTTCGTTCAACCACCACGTTTTACATGCCATCGCATTTAACAGTTTTAATGAAAATATAAGTCGATTTTTTTCAACAATTATTTAAGAATTATTTAAGGCTCAAAATGTCGATTTTCTAAGAATCACGAGGCTCAAAAAAAAAGTACGATTCTTATAAACAAAAAAGTGTGTAATATAGATACACCACTTGCTAGTATTCTTATTTAATGTAACTTAACCTGTTTATTAGGTTTACGTGAAGGAAAGCTGAGGCTAAACTAACAGAGAATCTGCTGATCAACCTTCACACGTTCGTACAGACTACACACTATGTCGTCCACATCACAGAAGCATCGTAACTTTGTCGCCGAGCCGATGGGCGACAAACTGGTTACGGAACTCGCTGGCATCGGACCCGTGCTCGGCGGACGCCTGCAAGATAAGGGGTTCGATAAGGTACGAATCGTCGTTGTCGTGGGGCAAGTAACGCTCAATTCTCTCGACTTATTTTCTCTCCTTGGATTTCCGTTTTTATGATCACTACCGGTACCTCTTAAAAAATGTTGGTATCTGTTTCAGTGTATCTGTTAAAACTAAAAGTTATTATTACGAGAGTTTTGCTCAGAAACCCTCAACCCAAAAAAATATAGCGAAATATGGTCTCACCTCACAGCGGATATATATCACTGATTACACCGGCATTAAAAACACTAAGATTTTAAGCAGTTATAGGCTTATAGCATAGAAAATTGGATATGAACACATCGTAACAGCAATGAATTTTATCGTGTCGCGATAATGGCCGAATTGGTAAACTTATAAATTGTCGGTGATTAATTGAAAACAACTGCATTTGAGAGAGACTGTATGTCTATGGCAGATAGGCGGCGGCGCTACTAGCTAGTCTAGATACAATAATGTAACCCAACTAGAGTAGGGTTACAACGCGAGCCTATTCTTTTCTTTGGAGGAGCCCCCGAGTGATTCACTTCTGAGTGATGACTATGTATCACAATACTCTGCATTAAACTAATATAACCTGTTACAAAATTTCGAAGCGACGAGCGGCGATATTTCGAACCTGTGGCGTATGCATTCCCAATGCGCATAGCATTCGGCTAACTTCGGCACCTGTGTTGCCTGACTTGCTGGCGCTGGTGACGTCATGACTGACAGCAGGCATCCCATGATACATTCGATCTTGGAGCCGAAGTAAGCCGAAGAAATTTTGTAACAGGTTATATTAGTTTAATACACAGTATTGTGATACATAGTAATTCCCAGGATGGCGGAGAAAGGTTCTTGTTTAGAATAAACCCAGTTTGGAAAAAAGCACCACAAAACCACCCTGAGTGAATCACTCGGGGGGGGGGGGCTCCTCCAAAGAAAAGAATAGGCTCACGTTGTAACACTACTCTAAATGGGTTACATTATTGTAACTACTAGCGAGTCCAGCACTACCGGCTCTAGTGCAAGATTACAGCAAACAATTGTTTACCAAACTATTTCGAAAATTGCATGTTTTGGTGACTACGAAGGTGCTAAGACATTTTATCAGTACTCAGACAATTTCTGTTGCTCAAGCAATAATGGTAGGTATCATGAAAGTGGGGAAAACACTGGAACTCTTGTAATAATAACTTTAAGCATAACTAAGCAAAAACATTTATATTCATTTATTTAATAAATAATTTGCGTGATCGTGTTACGTCTTCACGCAAAGCAGTACTCTCGAGTATTCAAGTAATTGTGATATTTCAATGTAGCGAGCAGTGCTCAATTTTAAGGTTTTTTTGGGGTTGTCCGGAGAACAACCAAGAGAGTAGCATATGGTTGTCCCTCAAGAGTTTTGGTTGTCCGGATATTATTTAAACATGTGCTGCATGCGCTCTGCTCACGTGATGCTCAGTGCTGTAAAGCAAAAGGCCTAATCATGTACATTTTGTACATATTGCAGTGACAGCAGACATGGCCATTCGCATTGTTTCACTCATTATATGAAGAGAATAAAATATTGGTAATGTGGTAAATGATGCTGGGATCAAGACGTATAATAATAGTAATTGAAAGTTGCATGAAATTTATTTCATAACATTTACATTAACACTGTGTCAAGTCACAGATGAGCAAAAATTGAAAATTTACAAATTGAAAAAAAAAAAGTTCAAAATTAATTTAGAGGTTGGACACCGGACAACCACGGAAGCAATTTGTAGTTGCCCGAGAGAAAATCCAGTCGTCACGGGCGACTGGACGACTGTTAAAATTGAGCCCTGGCGAGTGATATCTTGGTAGAACTAATACTAAGAACTACACTGATAATAAGAAAAACTGCAACATCTTATATGAATATAGCTAATACTCAATCTGAAATGTACGACTTTTAAAGCAGTAAATTCTTGTTACAGTACACAATCTATTATCCAAACCCTTTGGACCAGACACGTTTCGGAATTCGGAATGGTAGTATAGCACAGATATACATGGATACCGTATATCCTGCAACTAGCCAGTATTAAAACCCAAGTTTTCAAGAGGCAAAGTGCTGTACCGGTACAAGACAATATTACCGGTACCGGTACCTGTACCGGTACAGTACAATATATGTATGAGTAATGCCAAACACATTATTATTTATGCAGTGGGCCTTGTGCAGCCAAATGCGAGCTTTGGTGTGCAGATGACCACGGCACCACGAAAAAACTCAGTTTTTGGAGCTTTTCGGTTTTCAGAATTTCGGATAATAGATTGTGTACTGTACTATATCCAACCAGTGAACTCATATGTTTGTTGTTTTTCTATTTCAGGCGTATGTTGTCCTAGGCCAGTTTTTGATATTGAAGAAAGATAAGGAAATGTTTGTAGATTGGCTGAAGGACACAATATTGGCAAACAGCAAGCAGGCTAGCGACTGTCATCAGTGTCTATCAGACTGGTGCGACTCATTTCTCTAGATGCTGTGTATTCATCTCTGGTTCGACTTCATTGCCACTACTATTCAAGTTTCTATCGTTGCTGATGTCAGGAACCATCTATCAATCAAGTCTGCCAAAATGATGCCACATAAATACCGTGAAACACAGATTTGGAGGTGCCGTGTAGTTTGATCGCAATATTCTATTTCACGTGTAAAACTGTAATTTATATTGGCTGTATAGGTACATTGATATGCAGCCTTTTTAATCTACACTGTCTGTTACATGAGAATTTTTAAATTGCTAACTCATGTCTGGTTGCTAGCGAGTGCAGTGAACTGTCTTTATCATTGACTAAAGGTGTAGTTGGAAACGAAATTTTGAAGTGCAATGTTTTGCACCAATTGCCTGTAGATACTAATTCTCTGAAAATAATAGTGAGCTGAAAGTTAATGTCATTTTTGTAATTAGATGTTTTCATATATGAAAATCATAACAGGCCGCTTTTTTTTTTTATTTGACGAAAATGCCGATATAACAAAGTGCTATCACGACTCGCAACAACATATATATCATCCCTGTATAGTTGGATACCCACAATATATAATCAGAAGTTTCACACAGTCTAGTTTAAATATCATACAGGATCTACTACTATTGCAAATGTTAGGTTTTATTGTGAAGTGATCATTATGTGCAACTGTTCGTATCCAAATTATTAAAAAAAAAGGAATAATAATTCAATGCCATTAGGTCTCACAAAGTATTGAAAGCACGGAGTTTCCACTACGTGATATTTTTATTTTTACAGTGACACTTGTTTTTGTATATTATAGGCTATTAGGATACATTAATTATAATAATAGTAGTAATAATAAACTAACACGTTTTAATATGGCCATTGTTAGTCACAAGTGCAAGTCTGTTGTTTTTACATCGTGTGTCGCATCACGACAATAAATGTACAATTTGTCGTGCGTACGTAATGGTGAATATGTTGGAAGTATTTTTGTGTACAGGAGGCAGGATATGCACGTGTTGTCACACCCTCGTTTATCATCACCACATAGAATGTAAATGAATAGGTGTCAAAGCAATTTGCTAAGAGTCTGGTCAGTGGGTGTACGTCCTCATATACGGCAAAGTTACCTTGGTTCGCACAGGACGAATGTTCCAATCTAGGAGGTGCCAGTTTGACGCCGTACGCTAGACATGAAGTTATAATTATTCTTCATGCGATTTCAGTTATGCAATAAAATGGGTTGGCATACGTGTTGCCTTCAGTGTTAGTTTCCTTGTTTGTTTACATGTGGTGAGGGTCAAGAGAAGACAGTATCGTTATCATTTTTTTCATTTAAAGAAAACCGGTCAGTCATGGTCACTCATTTGGAAAATCGGAAATTATTGTAGAGCTGAACAAATTGGTGACAGTGTTAAACTGTTAATGATGTCTAGACGAAATCCAACCCAATTTAAAGAACAACTGACATTTTGTTTGCCGATTGATCATCAAGGAATGAAAACAGAACAGCTAATTAACGGGTCTGGAATTCCTATATGTAGTGTTCCACAGTACTCACTGTTTAGGGATAAACCTTAATAAATTATGTACAGTAATCAAAACCTCTCAAGCCTCTCACACTCTCTAAGGGAAAATATAAAACGAGCAAGAAAAACAGGAATTTTTGCTATCGGCACACCATTCAACCATTTTGTTTATTAATACCGTAACACTATACAAGCAGTATATATAATCATAATCTTCTGCGGAAATCACACGCGAAATAATATTAGGAATTTTACACCTGAAAAACAAATGACAAGCATAAGATCGTGGAAGGGACAGATATTGGTTAACAACGTTTTAGCTAAAAAAGACTCCGTCACAACTTCACCCAGCTTGCTCGCATCTGATCGATTCATCTCACTGCATTGATAAGACTATACATTTTACAAATTTCCGACATACTCTCCATTCGACTAAATTACACTCGTAACGAACGCGCGACAGGCATGCAATGAGGTATGAACGCACAGAGCTACGTACCACCCGACACACACACACACCTGAAAGGAGCGACCGTTCACTACTCGTCATACCCCATACGAGGGTAACCCGTCTCATAATGGCTACCCACAAAAATATTTTTACAGGAATAATCTGTGTTCGGTAGGAGCAGTGACCCTACGCTACGTTTGTACTCTCACAATAGCTACCCCCACCCACCAAATGTTTTCGGAGGAATAATCGGAGTGTTTAGTAGGACGTATTTCTACCTATCCTTATCACAACGACTACCCCCTCGCAAAACGTTTTTCAAGAAATAACCTGTTCAATAGGAGGACCCAATAATGGGGTTTTGCACAACGATTGCATAGTATCAAGAGTAGATAGTAGTCTTGATAGTATAATACTGTTTATCGACATGCTAGTACCTCTAGAGGCAACTACGGGAATGTCTCGTCTAATGTTAATTAGGGATTTCATTGATACAACGACCTGGTGCGTTCTGATGCGATAGCGCAATGTGCATAGTCACAACTAAATTACTGGAAAGAGTGTAATGCATGAAAGCTTCCTATGAGTACGTCCATTAAAAACGCCAGGATTTTTCTTCACTGTTATTCAGCTGTGCGCGCGTGCGTGGGCACGCACGTGAAGCATTTCCCCCTCGAATACATGTCAACCTGTGTAGTGGGGATTAGTATATCACGCGGAATTATTTCACAGCACGGATGATTGCGATCAGAGTTTTCTCGCAACGGCGCGTTAAAGCTAACGCATCCTGCAGCGCACGACGTCGAAAACGGTCAGACACAACTACAACAACAACAACATCAACCTTTGACATGATTTCATCTGATTTTCACTAATCACAGCGCGCCCTGCTACACGAGGCAGCGCCATTCGACACGGTGTTATCCGCACCTGCATTACCACCGTGAAAACGCCTGGAAACCCGTCCCACACGTAATGTACTAGGTGGCGCCAGCTGCACACGGATCCTTCTGGCCGCGCTATTAATGTGCGAGCCGCTGCGAGACGTCGTCAAGTCGAAAATATCACAAAATAGAATGAAGCCGGCAAGCCGTCGACAACTGCAACAGGGGTCGCCGCTGTCGCTGCCGCCAACGATCGTGCGAGACCGGGGTCGTCCGAAACACCTCACAGACAATTCTGTCATAGGAAGTCGCTACTTTGAAAGCAAAGCATCGGTCGCAATGACTGTGACATCGCGGACTCACGACGGGCGTGACGATCCGCGATGCTTCTGACACTGAGCTACAGTGTGGCAACTACAGTACCACATTCCCAAACTCACGCGGCACAACTCCGCGTCTATACATAATAACCTCAGCGCGAAGCTGCCTGCTGCTGCACCGAATAGTGGCCACGTCGAAAATCCGGCGTCGGCCCCGCGAGCCGATCCATTCGCAATAAATATCGAGCTTATCAATTCGCCCATTAAAAAAGTTCCCTACCGTGACACCTGCTCCCCTCCCCCCTTCTCCTCTCTTGTACGAGCGGCGTTCGTGTCAAATAATAACTTACAATCCCTTACGCGCGTGGATGCCGTGCCACCCTCGCCCGGTAAGCCGCGCACGCCGGAGTAACCGCGAATGATGCTACCCCGACGCAGACACGGTACGTTCCGGCGCGTCAGCGAGGCGACACGGCAAGTTTCATTAGTTTGCAAAGTGGCACGTCGTCAAGACGCAAGAGAGGTCTGTTACGACTCGTCACGCAGACTCTCGGAAAGTTGTTCACTTGTCCACGCACCTCTCGGCAGAGTTGTAGCGTTGTAGCGATTTGCCGTCGGTTCATGCGATCACCCGGAAACCGCACGCAAACGTGCCGGTGAAGAGGTAATGCAAAGTTTATCGGAAGTTGTTCACTTGTATGTGCGTCGCACTTGAACCCTCAGCTTTGTAAACGTTGATAAACGTGTAAATACGTCGAAGGCGCTCCGTTAGATTTAAACAACATGTAGAGGGCGCTCCCGATAGATGGCAACAACATGTAGATGGCGCTCTGGTTAGATTTAAGCAACATGTAGAGGGCGCTCCCGATAGAACGCAGCAACATGTAGAGGGCGCTCCGATTAGATGGCGACAACATGTAGAGAACGCTTCCCGGTTAGTTGTGCGCAACACGTAGATGGCGCTCCGGTTAGACGTGTGCAACACATAGAGGGCGCTCTAGTTGGATGTGCGCAACATGTAGAGGGCGCTCCAGTTAGATATAAACAACATGTAGAAAACGCTTCCCGGTTAGTTGTGCGCAACACATAGATGGTTCTCCGGTTAGACATGTGCAACACATAGAGGGCGCTCTAGTTGGATGTGCGCAACACATAGAGGGCGCTCCAGTTAGATGTCAACAACACATAGAGGGCGCTCCGGTTAGATGTCAACAACACATAGAGGGCGCTCCGGTTAGATGTTACCGGGGCTACGATAGTTAACGACATTCGATGTTACACTGGTTGCTGCGGTCTCGCTGGTTACCATGGTTATGCTGGTTACCATGGTTATGCTAGTTACCAGGGTTGTGCTGGTCAAAGACGTTCGATGTTACACTGGTTACTGCGGTCATGATGGTTACCATGGTTATAGCTGCAACACATAGCGCGCACGCCCTTGTGCATGCACAAATACACAGTGATAGAGAGAAGGTAAGAAAGCGTTCGCACAGAAATTCCAGACCGCTCCAATCTTTTCCCAGCACTAGAGGAGAAATACACGTCCAAACGCCATGATATTGGCTACTGTGTGTAGCTAAATGGTCACTTGTTCGAAATATATGTCTTGCAACTTGGTACCACATACTTTACCCAAAATTGCATCAGAATTGATCCCAGAATGCAATGCGCCGCCATTGCTCATGTACTTGTCCCGTTTACGAATCGGCTTCATGGGAAATTTGCGGCAAATTCGAACAGGATTTCTCATATAATTCTGGGTAAAGTATGTGCTACCAAGTTGCAAGACATATTTCGCGTGTGAACGCGCCTAAGGAGAGGAAGCGCCGCCATATCTGGCCCAAATATTTGCCATATTTGGTCATATTGGTCCAGAACAGATTAGTGTTCTATTGTCTCTGGGGGACGGATCTGCACAGCCGTTTCAGCTGATTATGGTCCATAGATGGCATCCTTGAGGCGAAAAGCACACAGCCAATCCGCTTCCTCTTTTTGTTATATGTAGCTCCTTGACTCTACCTAGCCCGACCAGGCTGTGCGACCGATTGTGACATTGTCTATGCAACCGATTGTCTATACGGTCTTCTAACCTTAGCAAGACCGTTTCTTCGAGCTAACTCTACCCTGCCGGCGGTGTTGTGCGACAGGGATCCAAGCTTTAGCAATGATATTAAAATGAAAAATAGTCTCCTGTGAAGCAGTAAATAAAGGAAATACTTATGTTATGGGATTTAGTAGAATATACTGCAGTCACTCAGTGATTCATAATTTACATAACACAGCAGTGTCACGCTTACAATTATGTTTAATTTCATGTAAATATTATGTTAAAATTAAGTTAGATTACAGGAAATCAAAAGAAAAAATTCCAATATATGAAATAGCCATAATAATTAATATAACATGAATACACACTTTTTTTATAAGAATTCTTTTTATAAGAATCATCGAGGCTTGATTTCCCAAATTTTAAGAATTTTTTAAGAATAATGCTGAGGCTCGATCATCAGACACACATTGTCACTCGATGACGACGGCGACGAGTGGATTGATAATGAGGATGACCGATTCTATGACGTTGAATTTTGCGGCCGTAGGGTGAAAGTTCATTATGAAAATGGGTGGTTTGAAGGCACTCTTGAATACTTCAATGACGACATACATAAATATCATGTTTCCTACCCCGACGAGAGTGAGGACTATATTGGCCTCGAAGACATTGACGGCGTAGAAGTCGTATTACTGTAGTTTAACGAATTGCGTATATTTTGAAAAGGAGGGGTTACTTTCTTGTTGTGTTATACATTGGTTCTTTTATTGGATATTAGCATTTTCCTCTTTCGTTCAACCACCACGTTTTACATGCCATCGCATTTAACAGTTTTAATGAAAATATAAGTCGATTTTTTTCAACAATTATTTAAGAATTATTTAAGGCTCAAAATGTCGATTTTCTAAGAATCACGAGGCTCAAAAAAAAAGTACGATTCTTATAAACAAAAAAGTGTGTAATATAGATACACCACTTGCTAGTATTCTTATTTAATGTAACTTAACCTGTTTATTAGGTTTACGTGAAGGAAAGCTGAGGCTAAACTAACAGAGAATCTGCTGATCAACCTTCACACGTTCGTACAGACTACACACTATGTCGTCCACATCACAGAAGCATCGTAACTTTGTCGCCGAGCCGATGGGGGACAAACTGGTTACGGAACTCGCTGGCATCGGACCCGTGCTCGGCGGACGCCTGCAAGATAAGGGGTTCGATAAGGTACGAATCGTCGTTGTCGTGGGGCAAGTAACGCTCAATTCTCTCGACTTATTTTCTCTCCTTGGATTTCCGTTTTTATGATCACTACCGGTACCTCTTAAAAAATGTTGGTATCTGTTTCAGTGTATCTGTTAAAACTAAAAGTTATTAT